GCTACATTGTATGTTAGTTTTACTTTCAATTTTTTGATGATTTTCCATCCTATTTTCTTGCATCGGTAATAATGTAATTTTCACAAATATTATGCAAGAGTTCTCTCTACACCATATCCTCAGCACTACTTGTTAAAACAACTGTCATAATTTCTCTTTGATGATAGTTATACTAACAGGTATGAGGTAATAGATTATTATAGTTTTGATTTGTTTTATCATGATAGTTAAAGATTTGAAGTATATTTCCAAATGCCTCTTGGCCATCTGAATTTATTTTTTTTAAAAAAGTATTTATTTAGGTACATGCCCTATTTTTTTAATTGAGTTATTCGTATTTTTGTCTCTGAGTTGTATAAGGATCTTATGTATCTTAGATCGTAAACCTTTACCAGATATGTGGTTTGTAAATATTTTTCTCCATTCTGTAGGTGGTCTTTTTATTTGATTGGTTGTTTCCTTTGCTGTTTAGGAGCTTTTCTTTGCTGTAATCCTATTTGCCGATTTTTTCTTTTGTTACTCAATCATGAATTTTGATTAACTCTAATATTTATAGAACATTGGGTATAGCAGAAAATAAAAGAGGGATTAAGTAAAAATTTTTACTGGTGGTCAATATTTTATTTTATTAATCATTAATATTTTTAAATTGCATATTTTAATTTCTTTTTTTTTGGCCTTTTCAATTTGTAAAGTTTTATTATATATAACCAAATACGAACACAGGACCTCAAATATGATCAGCATAACCATTTGTTAACTGACCATGGGTGGCAGCCAAGAAATTGTGTGGTGGCACAAGACAAAAGGGCACTTTACTGTCAGAACAAGATAATATTGTTGGGATGCCACAAACCAGGTGTAATTAAGTAGGCTGATGGAAGAGAATGACCAGGAGATAACTTCTAATTGGTATCAGTGCGTTAATAGCCACATTGTTATGGTTATGTGGATTTTTTTATTTCTTGTGATGATAGGGAGTGATTAGTGTTGTAGAATATTACAAATAAAATATATTAGTGTCTCCAACAATTCTTCATTTTAAAAAGCAGACATAATATATAGAGGATAAATAAGAATACTATCAGAATTATGTGATACTCATTGAATCATCACAAATAATGTGCAATTATTACAGGACATCTTTCCCAATAAGTCGGTTAATAAGTTCAATATGTATGCAGAAAAATGAATAGTGCATATGTAATTTCAAAAAAAAGAAATTACAGTCATCAAAATTATTTATTTTATTAATAATTGAAAATCAAATAATTTGAATAAATGATTATTTAACACATTACCTGTTCATATGATCTGAGCCTAAACATTTAACACACAAAAAAATAAGACCTCATATTTCTATTGCTTATTTCTTACAAAGCTCACGGATAATATAAATACATAGAGATATTAAAAGATATCTAACATGTCTATATCTGATAATATCCTTTCCTTTTACTAACAGAAATTTAGTTTTGTTGGAGGTGCAATATGTCTGATTAAAATACTAAATTTCCCAGTATCTAATGACTATAGGTTGGCTAGTTTGTCAAACTATAATAACAATTGTTTAAGTCAAAGTAGTTAAAAGATTTGTTATAAGTGTTTCACATTAAAAAAGACTTTATACATCCTTGGACACTTGTCCCATTTATCTTGGTTCTAGACAATGAATATATCTAAAGTTTTAGAAATCATCTTTTAAATATGAGAATGAAAGCTGAAGAGTTAGAAGAAGCCTGGATTTCTGATGCCTCTCTGGAGGAATATCAATGACTCCCTGGAGCCATCAAATGAGCCATAGATATTTCTCTAGAGGCTTTTCCATCACATGAAAAGAAAATCCGTGCATGATTTATGAGATTTTTTGTTAGTTTTCTCCAATATGATACTGAAATCTCCTTTAATCAAACTTTGATTCAGACTGATGGATTAAAATGCATAATGTTGTATCAAATAAGTATGTTGGTATATATGTTCAATAACAAATTACTACAAAATTGACAACTTGAAAACATCCCATTTATTGTCTCACTATTTCCATGGGTCAAGAGTCTTGGCACAGCTCAAATGAATACTCCTTTTTAAAGTTCATATGGTTGTTGACAGATTTTAGTTCCTTGACCTTGCAGGACTGGAATAAAATGCTCAAGTTTCTAGAGGCTATTCTATGCCCATACTCCTTTCTTCTTCTTCTTCTTCTTTTTTCTTTTTTATTTACCAGATGGTGAGAACACTTGCTAAAGAGGGACAGAGACAGAGGGAGGAAAAAAGCAAACAAACAAAACAAGAAAGCACTCTTCATAGGAAATGGTCATACTGGAGTCTCCACTCTTCTGCTTCACTTTCCATGTGGGATTTCAAGCATGCACACACATGAGTCCAGTGTTATCTGTTTGTTTCCTTTCTTAGAGAATTTTTTTCTCTTGGATACTTACACTTGACACAGTGACAGAAAGTGAGAAATCAACCCCTAGCAGACTGGCAATGCTGTGAACCCTTCTCCTCCATTCTCCTCTTGGGATTTTGTGCATATACATGCACCAAGGGTGAATTCCAAGCCACTGGATCCAGAACTCAAACTGCAGTCAATTACGTGGGAGTCCAGAGACATAATCATTGTGCCATCTGTTGGTCACAACACCAGTGTGTTTTTCAAGCCACCAGATACAGATCTTGAACCATGAGGTGAGGTGTGTAGAATTTAGCCACTTTAACTGGGCAATAAGATGACTCTCATACTGCGTTCTTCATGTGTACTTGTTCACATTATAATAGTCTACTTCATCAAGGTTCTCTAATCTCTTTCTGTCTCACTCTTGCTATTTCTATATGTGTAGACAGAGGTAATCATATATAGCTTAATAGCCTAATTATGGAGATGGCATATATCCTTATCCTCTTTTGCCATATTTTCTTGGTTAGAGGTGAGTCACATGTTTATGTACATGGAATAAGAGAGTATATACAGAGAATAACACCAAGGTTGGCGAACAGAGGGCCCATGTTAGAATTCTGCCAACCACACCAAGTACAAAAGCGTATTCTTACAGATTCTGTGTAACATTTCTGCACCTTTTTCTACACTGGTACATTAGAAAGGATATTTTAGATGACTTATCATAGAACCCATATAAACCCTTTGTAGAACCTTTTAAAAATGGGTGTCAGAAAAAGCCTATCATAAAATATATTAACTTCAAGTCTAAATCATGATTAAATCTAGATTTCCAGAATTAAAAAATTACTGCTGAAGAGGAAAGCTCTGAATAAAAATTGTTCTTTATCAAGTTTCAAAAAAAGTTAACATCTTTCAGAAATAAGATTTCTTTGATATTAAACCAACATTGTAGACAGTATGAACATTTTCTGAAGAGAAGTAATTCTCCAAATTTAACACAAAGTATCTCTTTCCATCCTTGAGTTTACACTATTTTTATGTAAGGTATGTGTTTCTTTTGTTCTAGATAAAAATAAACATGACTATCATATTTATTCTTTCCTCTTCTCTATATATGAGAATTCAGGTTTTTAAAATCTATTTCTTATATCTTAGTCTTATTACACTGTTTTAACTATCTGTTTCCATATGTATGTGCCCTATTGGACTAAGAGCTGAAGTAATGCACTCTAAAGATAAGAGTCTGATTCAGTTGGTGTTTCTACTCCTATGTTTACTCAGTCTGAGAATTTATTTTGTTTGAAATGCATGGATAAGATTTTTATTTTTAATAATATGTATTTTATTTTCAAAAGATATTTTGCTATTGGGTGCATATTCTCACTGGATAAACAGAGAGAGAGAAAGTAAGAAATCACCTCACAGGGGAATGGCCATACCATAATCCTTTACCTCCATTCTCCTCTCAGGATTCTGGGCATGCATGTACACAAACTCAAAGTGAGTTTCAAGTGCTGCATCTGGGACTTGAACCACAGTCAGTTGTGTAGAATTTCAGAACATTAATCATTATGTCACCTGTTGGCCCCAATATTACATATTTTTAATACCTCTAACACGTTTATCAGAGTCTAAATAAAATGCTTTTTTATAAAGAAGATATTTTAATAATTAAGATTATATTAATATTGCTTATAAGAACACAATGTTTGTGTTCTTATAAGCAAAGACCCAATTACAAAATTGACCTAGAATTCATCCTAGCTATCTGAGGATAACTCATATTACATAAGACAGATTTGTTAATAGACATGGGTCCACATGCTTGTTTTACCTGACCTCTGGGTGAGTTAGGATTTTAACAATTTTGGTGTACCAAGATAAGTTCATGCCTACACATTTTTATATTTAGTTTCTGCTATAGGATATGTGAGTTTGCCAGACACACACACAGAGAGGGGGAAAGTGAGAAATACCCCCCTGAGAGGATGGCCACACCACAATCCTTTTTGCATTCTCCTCTTGAGATTTTGGGCACGTACATACACACAAGCGCAGTGTGTCATTCAGGCCATGGTGCCTAGGACTCAGACAGCAGTCCGTCATGTGTGATGCAGCCACCTTAACCTTCATGCCACCTGCCAGCCCATGTCTATACTTTTTGTTTAAAGATTCTTGTGCTAAGGCACAAAAACACAAATAATACTCTATTCATTCAAACAAACCTTGCTTCTTAAATTCTTACCACTAAAAAGTGGAAATTATGTACTACATTATTTTGGATTCTCAGAATTGTTTGGATATAAATTATATTACCATGAGCCAAATGTGGGGGAAAGTCTATCAATATATTTCTTAAATTAGCTTACCAATTCATCAATAAAATAAATATCTGATTCTTGCCAAGATATGAGAGAGTATGTATACCAAGAACTAACAAGATTTAACAATGGGTCAGACTTCACAGATATTTATATGAACAACCAGATGGTCAGTAGTGTCTTCTAATAAGACGAGAAGTTGGAGGAGAATCAGAATGTTGGGTGAAAAGCATTCTGATTTGGAGCTGTGTTCTGATAAAGAATTTTTTGTTGTTCTAATGTAGGCAGGTTTCTATAAGCCCTTTTCTAAACTAGGTGTTTATCCTTGGTCCCTGTCCTTGACTTGCCTACCCAGTATTAGAAGAAATCCTGCTATGTGAGTAAGAATCTCTGCACCCTTTATATCTGATCTACTTTGACAGCTGTTCAAGTTCCTCTTCCCCTGCTCTTGACATATGATTCACCTTGGCCTGCCTTTAGCAAGAATCCTGTTAAAGCAGTTTAGCAAAAATCTCCTTTCCCATGATATCTCCTCCTAGTAATTTTCCATCTACTGATGCCTTCCTCTGCTTTTTGGATATAAATTCCTCCTTACAATTATTGTATTTGCGATCAAACTCAGTTCTACACTGATGTCTTTTCTCCCTATTTCAATGAGTACAGGACAAGAGTCTGTCTTTCCTGTATTTTACTAATGTCTAATTCCATTTCTATTCAAAACTTTATATAATAAGAGTATTTTCAATAAACAATGATGAATGCAAATGCACTCTACAGAAACGTTTGTTTGTTTGTTTGTTTTGTTTTCCTCTGAAGGAGAGAGCCAGCTTGCATGGGTTTTCTAATTCTTTCAGAGAAGCAGATACTAGGTAAAACACAATCATTTCATCTATAGATATGTTCATTACCGTTAGAAGTTGCTCATGAATTTGTAGGTTTATGTGCCAATCTGTGAGGTACATCTAAGAAGAAAGCCAAAAGTACAGAACTACCACATGCCCTGGATTGGTGAAAATTCTGCTTTACATGGAAACACCACCTGGCTCTACATCTTATTTAGATGAGGGTTTTTTTTTTTCTTTCCCCTCAGTAAAGACACATTTTTACCTCATGTACATTCTCAGAACTTTGATCCCCAATAATATTTCCTAACAAGTTAAAATTTACCCTAATTTAAATTTAGCTCTGGATAAAAACATATTCGTTTTTTAAGGAAAAAAAACAAACAAACAAACAAACAAAAAAACCCACTCACTATGGACAGTATACATTATAATACTAAAAGTCACCTTCCAGGTGTAATAAAAATAGTTTTGGTCTTAGTTGCTATTGTTTTAGCTTACTAGATACAGATTAATATAGGCGTAGGTACTCTTAAGTTAGCAGCTCAAAAGTTGAAGCATTTATTCTTTGACTGTATAGTCTTTTTTTAAAAAATGAGAATGCTGCAGGTTTTGTAATCATTTTATTACTGGCAGAATAAGGAAGCAGATTAAAAATTCTGCAGTTACTTTTACCAGCATGTTTAATGGCAATGGTGGTGAAATGGAACAAGACATTGAATTTCACCAGGCAGGATCTGTTACCGAGAACTGCTGTTCAAAGCTGCCTGACGTTACTTGAGGTGGATATTAGACTGTGCTGGTAACTGGTATGTTTGTTATTCTGGCTGACATATACCCCTGCCAGTAATTAGAAGTGGGAAAAAAGCCTAATGACATTTCTCACCTGATATATCTGATGCCAGTAGAGAAGACAATGTGCTCCGTAAGGAGATTTTTCCTTCCCTGTAAAGAGTAATGTCACAGCACAAATCTTAAACAAGAAATTTGCTTATATTAGACTTACGTCACTTTAAGTAAATGATAACACAAACACTCTCTCTCTCTCTCTCTCTCACACACACACACACACACACACACACACACACACACACCTTGAAATAATTTAAATAGCAAATGGCAAACTTTTAAACTTAACAATCTAGTAAGAATCCCCCCGCCCCAAAGATTGAAAATTGGGTATTCTGACCTAAATAATTTTTTGTTGTTGTTGTTGCTTATTTGTTTGTTTGTCTGTTTTTTTTTGTTTTGTTTTGTTTTCTAGTTAACAAATTCTTAAACACTTCATATACGGGACCAGCAGGTGATGTGGTAGTTAAGGCACTGGACTCCTATTTGATGGACCTCGGCCTGAGTCCCAGATCTGGAGGCTGGCTTTCTCACTTTCTCTCCCTTTATTCCTTGCTGTCTCTCTCTTTATTCCTTGCTGTCTCTCTCTTTCTTTTTGTCCTGCAGCAAATTAAAAAATAATATCAAATTAAATGAAAAAAAAAACTTCATATGTTAAAAGTAGGATGTGCATGAACTGCTAACAAATGATGGGTTTTTCTTTGCATGTATAAACCAAAGAATGATTTTTTTCTTTCACCTGGAAATGTTCCACTCATTCTATAACAAGAAGGTTAAAACATTGTGAAATCTATAAAACCCCTTCATGTTGCTTTTCAGAGTCATTTAAACCTATTTTTACTAAGATTATTAAACAAATGCATGAATGTACATGTTTATAAACATTTACTGAGTATAGCTACTGGTTTTAAGAGAGGAAAACCAGTGCTATGTTAAAACCTACGTGTTCTCTCTTTAATTGGGTTTACTTGCAATGGGAAGGAGGAGTAAGGGTTACACGAGTAAAGAAGATAAGTGCAGATTTTGAGAAGTATCTTGAAGTAAATAAATAGGGTAGTTTATTAAAAAATGGAAGAATCAATTTTAAAACATGATCAGAAAATATGCTGAGGCAATGTCTTATGACTACAGGATAAGAATATAGAAGTGATGGAACTCAACCAAAGAGCATTCCTGGAAGTGAAATTGGAACAGTAAGTATAGAAATTTATAGTTTGGAAAGACCTTGGCTGTTTAAAGAATAGAGAAGACATCTATATGGTGGTCCAGAGGATCTTTGAAAGAGGGAACTTTTATACATTGTCTAATAATTCCTATTGTCTAGCAAACATCTTGAAAGAAATACTACAAAATTGTTTGCTTTATAAGAATAAACTATTGAGACATATGTTACAACACTGTGACAGGCTTAAAGGAATTATTTAGTGAAATCATGTTAACATAACAAGATGACTAATAACAGGACAGCATGGGGTATAATACTGTAAAAGGGGGGTGCTAGAGGAAATTAAGGCAATTGCATGGCAAAGAAAGTTAATGTAATTAAAATAGTCAAGATTTCTTTAATTTTTGTTTATTGCCATAGGGTGCATATACTCACCGGAGAGAGACAGAGAGAGGGGAGTTGAGAAATTACTCCCCCCAGGAGGGATGGAAAAATCCCTTCTTCTCTATTCTCTTCCTGGGATCTTGGCTATGCATGTACACATGGCTGGCATGATTTTCAAGCCACCAGGTCCAGCACTCAAAACACAATTGGCCATGTGGGAGTCCAGCACCTTAACCACTACACCACTTGCCGACTCCAAGACTTTCTTATTTTCAAGAAAAAGGACATGAGCTTATCATACAGAATGAATCTTGCTTTGAACAAAAATTGCAAGTAATGAACTTCCATGGATAAATTTTAAATAACCATGTTTTATTATAAAATGGGCGTTAGTACTGATAATGGGTTTCCTTCTTATTGAAAAAACTAAAAGTGATTTGTTAATGCTTGTGTACTCAATTTAAGGAAGAGGGTACATGTTGATGAGTTCAAAATAAGCAAGTGGGCTAGCAGGTGGTGTGGGTTAGGGCACTAGATTTCCACATGGCCTACCATGGTTTAAATACTGGATTTGGTGACTTCAAAATCACACCAGGTGCATGTCCATGCATACCCAAAATCCCAGGAGGAGAATGGAGGAGAAGGGATTGAGGTTTGGCCAATCTCTCTGGGGAGTGATTTCTCATTCTCTCATTGCTTCTGCCTATCTCTTGCTGGTGAGGGCATGCATCCTAGGATAAAATCTGAAAACAAAACAAAACAAAAAATTAAAAGCAATAGAAGATATAAAAAGTGATTACAAATGTCTTTTACTTTTTTAAAATTGATTTACGTATTTCTCTTTTAAGAATTTTGCAACTTATGAGGAATGCCCTTTAACTTATGATATATTTGTGAACATGAAATTAAGTTTTATTTCCCTATGAAGAATAAATAAACCAATCTAAGTTATTTTTACAATCATTAAGAATTTTGGAAATAATTTGCATTTTCAGTTAAAACACTATGGTGTTCTGTGCAAGCTAAAGAATAAATCTTATTGGAATTAACTTCTAAAAAAAATCTCAAATACTGGCTCACTGAGACCACAAAGATTCAAAGAGTAAATGTGTTTAACATTTTTCTTGATTGAAAAACCTTTGGAACATCTTAAATTTACTTTTGGACAATGTAAATTCCTGTATGCATTGGGTACCTTTTGATAAACACCTTCTTTTGATGCTGTGCTTCCATTAATACAGTCATTGACTATAGAACTAGGTTTTTTAATTTTAATAATTTATTTAGCACAATATATCAAAATTAAATTAAAATAAAAAATGTATTCAAGATGTCATGTATATAAAACTGACTCTTCTTTCCTGCATAAACTTATAGCCCCAGTGAAGTGTTTCTGTTGAATGGTTGACATTTATTTATTTAAAATCTGTTCATTTAATCATTTACATGAGCAAGAGAGACACACAGAAAGAGGCAGAGACAGAGAAACAGAGAGAAAGAGAGACAATCACCTAAATAGGGTCTTCACACCTTAATCCACTCCTACTCTCAGTCAGACTGGAATGCTGGACAAGCATGTGCTTGGGGTGTTCAGGAAGGTCTCTGGACACAAATGTGGAGCTTTTCCATATGAGTCAGCCTCAGAGAATATTGAATTACCAAAAGTCACTGTTCAAATTCTGACATTATTTAACTTACAATATTTTCAGGGTATATACCCTGTGAACATATTTAGTAGATATAAGTGACACATCATGAATAGAGAGGAGAAATAATTAACTCATTAATAATGTAATTTACCATGTTCTCCAAGAACAATCTCTGGTAATAAAATTCTTCCTTATCTGGTAAATTGTAAGATAATTATTTCCATGTATATGCATATAACCACTTTTAGGTTGAAAATGGCTTTCTCATAAGGTTTATGACTCACAGTAATTCATATTTTTATTCTTGAGATAAGTAAGCTTCCTTTTTTAAAACAATTGATTACATACACTAATATCATTCTATGTATGCCAAAATACAAACTTCTACTCTGAATGGTGTTTTCTTATACGTAAGATCTACCATTTCAAGTTTCATATTTGTAACCTCTTTTATTTAACTCATTATACTTTATCCTTTACATGGTTATTATGCACATCTGATATTCTCTAAAATGTTAAGGAAATGGTATTTGCTTTAACTTTTTATTTTCTCTGTGGCTCTTACTGGAACTAGAGCACGTGTGGAAGGAACGTGATAAATACAGTGTGAATTGAGTGTGTCATATTTTAAAGATTTTTTTCTCTGAACAACAAGCTTTAGTTTCTTATTCAAGATGGAGACCAAAAATCAATAACTATTATTACCTAGAAATGGGATAAGTTGATAGCAATTTATTGCTGAGATAAAGTCCATAGATATATTTTGTAGCTATTAAATAAAGTGAACAGCGTAGTTTAATACCAGCTTGAAATTAATTGGTATAAACATAAAAATCTACTACAGAGCCAGAAAAGTTTATATTGCACTGTTTTAAATAAAAATATGGAGACTAGATCAAATTTTTAAAGAATATATTAGCTTCTGTTTAATATTTTAAAAATTGAAAATACATGTATTGTGTATTATTCATTTATTTTGACAAACACTAAGCAATGGGCATACAACACTGAAGAAAAAAGACAATTTTTTAATTAACACTCATGGAGTTTACATTTTAGTTGGAATAAGAAACAGGAGAATAGGGTAATAAACAAATGAAAGTGTATTATATGCTAAATAGTAAAAATTGCTAACAAAAAAAATAAGAAATGTAAAGCAGACTGTTAAGTGTCAGGTGTGAGGATTTTTTATTTTATGTATGTTTGGAAGCATTTAAACTTTGGTACATAAGATTGTTAGGAAAGACCTTATTACTAGAATATGATTTGAGAAAATCTGAAAGGGGCGAGGAGGTAAGCCATGTGACTATACTGAAACAAGAGAGAGTAGTAAGTGCAAAGACCCTGTGGAACGTGCACACTTAAAGTGTGCAGAGTCAAGGATATTCAGAATGACAGTAGTATGGGACCAGCAGTTAGTGGAATGGCTATGTTGCTTGACTCCCATGTAGTCGACCGCAGTTTGAGTCCTGGAGCAGGTGGCTTAAACTCACTCCGGGTGTGTGTACGTGAGTACCCAAGATCCTAAGAGGAGAATGGAAGAGAAAGGACTGTGGCATGGCCATCCCCCCTGGAGGGTGATTTCTTACTTTCTGTCTCTCTGTCTCTCTTCGTCTTCCTGGCGAGCACATGTGCCCTATAGCAAAAACCTCTAAGAAAAAAATAAAAAAATAAAAAAGAATGACTGTAGAGGGAGTGAGTAATAAATTATATAAAATAAGGTCAAAGGAGCAACTATAATAATACACTAGGCAATACTTGCTCCAAAGAGCATAACATGTTATAATAATGAAAATATTTTCTAAGTTAACTTAGATATTTGTATATCAAGTATGATGCAAATGCTTTATAAAAATAATATTTAATTTTCCTAACCATTCTGTGAGTGAGGTCGTATAATTTGACAATATTATGAAACGGTAAAGTCCTGGTTGATACTATTTTATAATCAATAGTGTTTTTTAGTCTTTTATTTAAAAAAAATCCTCTAACTTATTAATCATTCATTGACGTTATTTTATTTCTTTTACATATTTAGATTTTGAACAAATGATCTAATTTGGAACAATATTTAGTAGATGTTGAACTATGATCTTGCATTTGCTGGAGTGGCTAATACGTACTGAAGTACAATATTCTAATATATAACTCAATGAGCTATACCTATTTGTCATGGTCTGTGATAAATATCTAGCAACAGCATTTGTGCACTTATGATCTGTTTGCATTTTATGTCCTGTACAAGTGTTTGCCTGCTATTTGAACCCAGCTGCAAGCTGAATGTCTAAACTCACAGTCAAAAATTAATAAGAGAACGATCTGAATTCACTTTTTTATTAAAAAAATGTAATGTCCCTTTCCACTATAGAGAAATATGCACTATGTAGGTGAGCAAACAGAATTTTTTATTCTAAATTCATATTATACAAAAATGAAATTGCTTTTGATTAGTTTTAGAATGAATCTTCATTCAATGCATTTTTATAACTCCAAAAGAAAATGTGAATAAGAAAGAGGAATATGTATCAGCACTTAGAATAAAATCTGCCTATCAATGGAATTTATACAATGTGAATAAAATGTTGATGAAGCAGAAGGTTTTTTAAAATATAATCACCAGTATCTGAACTCTTATTTTATTTTCAGTGGCAAATTGTGACTTGCAATTTCTGATGGAAGTGACAAATGACCTAAATAAAAAATATGAGATTTGCATATTCATAATATAATTTAAGTACTAATGCTCTTGACCACTAGGGAACTCTTGATATAATTATGTTAATTTCCAATATGTTCCCCAATGTTCTCTCCATACCAGCGATTGCTTACAACAAAATTATTAGTTTACATTCAAATTGAAGTATGAAAAAAAGCAGTTTCTCAGAAGCTAGATTGTTTTTGAAAATATATTCACATAAGCAAACATAAAGATAATTGACAGATTTCAACTGAATTGATACAAAGAGTTTTGCTTATATTTAAATTGTTTTATATC